GTTTGGTTTTTTTTTTTTTTTTTTTTTTTTTTTGCCTAAATCCATCCCGCCTTTCCCTGCTCGCTAGGAGCATTTGAACCCCATTTTGCCTAAATCCATCCAGCCTTTCCCTGCTCGCTAGGAGCATTTGAACCCCAAAACTTCAGGGGTTTTCTGGTAAAAGGAGATGTGCAAAAACAGCCCCATATGTTTTGCCAGCCCTCTGTGTCACTCTAGCTGCACACGGGCTACCCCCAAACCCAGCTTTCGTCCTCGGGCCATTGTGGCCACAGCAAAGCCTGGGAGCCCCTTAGGGCTGCTGGGATGAGATGCACAACCCTGGGGCAAGATGCATGCACTTAGGGTGAGATGCATGGTCCCAGGGCGAGATGCATGGACTTGGGGCAAGAGGCATGGGCCTGGGGTGAGATGCATGGACTTGGGGTGAGATGCATGGTCCCAGGGCGAGATGCATGGACTTTGGGGCGAGATGCATGAACTTGGGATGAGATGCACAGCCCCGGGGTGAGATGCATGGTCCCAAGGCGAGATGCATGAACGTGGGATGAGATGCGCAGCCCTGGGGTGAGATGCATGGCCTCAGGGCGAGATGCATGAACTTGGGATGAGGTGCGCAGCGCCAGGGCAAGATGCATGGACCTGGGGTGAGATGCATGGACTTGGGGTGAGAGGCACGTATTTGGGGTGAGATGCACAGCCCTGGGGCGAGATGCACAGTCCCGGGGTGAGATGCATATCTCCGTGGTGAGATGCAGGGCCCTGGGGCAAGATGCCCGGCCCCAGCACAAGGGCCACGATCCCCATTTCCACTCCAGAGCCCCCCACCGCCGTCTTCCCTCGCTCGCCTCTAATACCAGGCTTGGGTGTTGCTAAGCAACTGCACAACTCGCCGGCTCGGCGTGCCGATGCTGGCTCCGTCCTGCTCCGAAACGCTCCCCGGGGACACGGGCATCACGCTCCCACCCCCCGGACAGCAGTCGTCCCGTCTCCCCTCACCCCAGTTTTGGGTCCCAAGGGCTGTGCCTCGCATCCCCTTATAGCGCCGTCCCAGAGGGGATGAAGCAGATCTGAGCCTCAGCTGGGCTTTGGCCATGGTCCTTGCCCATCGTCTCCTTCTCAGGGAGTCTGATGGCTTCAGCCTGCCCCTTTGCCAGGCCCATCCTATCTCTACCACCACCACCATTCCTGTCACCATCCCCGTCATCGCTATCCCCATCACCATCCCTGTGCCCATCACTTCCTCAACACTGTCACCCCTCCCATCATGATCCCCATCTTCATCACCATCCCCATCCTGTCATCGTCACCATCCCCAAGCCCATCACCATCACCTCCTCACCATTGTCACCACCCCATTCCCATCACGATCCCCATGCTCATCGCCATCCCCCATTCCTGTCATCATCACCATCCCCATGCCCATCACCATCACCTTCCCACAACTGTTATCATCCCATCCCATCATGGTCCCCATCCCCACTGCTGTCACCATCACTATCCCCACACCCACTGCCTCCCCACCGCTGTCACCAACCCCATCGTGATCCCCATCCTCCTGCCCATCATCTTCTCCATCCCCATGCCCATTACCATCCCCATCCCCATCGCTGTCACCATCACCATCCCCATCACCGTCACCATCACCATCCCCATCACTGTCGCCATCCCCAGCACCATCCCCAACACCATCCCCATCCCCATCCCCATTACCATCACCATCCCCATCACTATCACCATCACCGTCACCATCCCCATCACCGTCACCATCACCATCCCCATCACTGTCGCCATCCCCAGCACCATCCCCAACACCATCCCCATCCCCATCCCCATTACCATCACCATCCCCATCACTATCACCATCACCGTCACCATCCCCATCACTGTCACCATCACCATCCCCATCAGTCACCATCACCATCTGCATTATTGCCACCATCCCCATCCCCAACACCATCCCCATCCCCATCCCCGTCACCATCACCGTCACCATCCCCATCCCCATCCCCATCAGTCACCATCCCCATCCCCATCACTG